TGGCCATATCTTCTTCGTTACTCAACGAAATCGCAAGCCGTTTGGCTAATCCCGGCTGGATTCATATCGTCCGGGGCTAAAACTTTGGTTCAAGAAGTATTTCGAGATAATGGATGGAAAATTTCAGTTTTTACCTCAAATTGGACTGATGTGTTTTGGAATCAAGGTTTGGAAACTTTGGATGGTTTCTTGCTTGCTTCTTCTTCTTCTTTGAGCCAACTATGGAGGAGGAGTTGTGTTTTATTCTCTCCTTGAAGCTGCCGACAGAGAGAGAATGGAGAGGGATGGATGGATGAATGATTGATGGTGGATGATGGTGATGAGAGTGGAAGATAATGATGATATTGAGTGGTGGAGTATTATATGGGATAGCTTGGATTGTTGTGGTGTAGTGGGCTTCTTAGGTGGATGGTTGAAACAAGAGTAGGGGTGTTCATGTTTAGGTCCAGACCGAAAAAACCGACCGAACCGGACCAATAGGTCCAGACCGAACCCGGACCGAATTGATTTCGGGTCGGTCGTCGGTCCTATAAATTTAACATTTCGGGTTTCGGTCCGGTCCGGTCTAAACCCGATACATAATCGGTCTGGACCGAATGGACCGAATAGACTATTTAATTTTCAATCGGTCCAGCTGTCCAGAAGGAGTCCAGTCCACTTTACGAAGCCCAATACTGAAATTCCCAAACACCCATTCAAATTCGTCAGTGACCCTTCGTCCTTACACCTTCTTTTCCAACCGCCGCTTCTCAAGTTCTCAGAACTACAGTCGGCCGACGATTCTCAGACCGGCGACGGACGGGCGACTGCTGACGGGCGACGGGCGACGATTTTCAGATTTCATATCTCCTTCTTGTTTCGAAAGGCTTCAATCGAATCTGCGAAGGTACCATATGATTAACTCCTCCTCAATCAGCCCTCTCTAATCTCCTTCTCCATCATCTTCTTCTCCAGATTTCCAGGTAATAAGCATGGATTCGGTCTTTTCGGTCTTCCCGGTTCGGTCCATGTGATTTCGGTCCGGTCCGGTCCAAAACCGAGATTATTTAGGTCCGGTCTTCGGTCTAAGTTTTGGCATATTTTGGTCTTTGGTCCGGTCTGGTTCGGTCCGGTCCGGTCCGGTCTTAGACCGATGAACACCCCTAAACAAGAGGGATGCTACGGAGATTTGGAAGAGATTTGAGAATTGAGTTTTCGCTTTTAGCCAAAACTGAAAAATTTACTTTAAACGGTACGCGCTTTTTCGCCCAAACTGTTCTGAATCGAAAACGGGTTGTGTTTTTGGAATCAGACTGTCAAAACTAGAATTTTGATGTAATCGAAATATTTTTCTGAGAACTTTTATTTTTCTTAGTGTTCTGGTCTGTCTTAGTCATAAATTAATTTAATAATATGAATGAGATAAAAATATACAAATTAAATCCAAATGATTAATATGATGTTGCCAAGTGTCAAAATTAAGATTTCTAATCTTATGAAATCACTTTTGAATTGAGTTTATTTTATGGGTCAAAGTTACAAATTTTAATATTTAAAATCGTCATAGCTTGAAATCTATAAATCAGATTAGTTCATAAAATGTACCGTTGGATTCGTCTCTTCGAGACATAAAAATAAGTTTTTAATAAAAAGTCATTATTTTGAAAATCTATTTATTTTTGGTCAAACGTATAAATATTCCTTATTGGTCACATTGATATTCAAATTCACTTTTGTTTTATAGGAGTAAATTTTAGGCCATATTTTGTGGCTTTACAATATTAAAATTACAAAGTTTTATTACCTAATATATTTTAAAATTTTAAAGTAGCAGCATGGTGCCATGCTATTAAATATTAAATTAAAATAAAATTAATAAATTTTAAATAAGAATATTAATACTGCGTATTAAATAAGAATAATAATGGAAAGTTTAGAATATAATTTCGTGTATTAATATATATTGAAGAATGTAACACGGTTCTATACACGTTTAGCATTTAACACATACCATATCAAAAAATAAAAGCATTTAATACTTACCAATTTTATGGGCACATACCTTATGTAATGGCCATCAGCATTGGGCGGGAAAAGACCAATGGAATTCCATGTCTTTTTAAATAATAGATAGATTATATTGTGTACATTTTATTTTGGAGTGTCATTTTAATTATGAAAATAATTACTTTGACAAAAACTATTTTAAAGTATATTTTATATACTTGTTTTAAAATGTTTTGGGTATTTTATTTTATATCATAAAAATTATTGATGTCAAATAAAATACACTTTAATCATTTGAGAGGAGAAGAATTTTAAATTCTTCCCCCCTTTAATTTCGAAATGTACATGCATGATATAATGTGTGGGGACTTTTGTCTCCCCCTACTCATCTTAACTAGTGTCCTTTTGTTTTTTAGCAATTGTATATGTTTTATACATATTCTTTTAATAATAGAGAAAATGCATGTTTCCTCCCAATTGTTTTTGAGGGAGTCACGGCCAAGAGAGAAGAGAGGAAGGAGAAGCCATTT